GAGAGGCAGTGCTTACCTTTTTAGTAAAAATATTCTGTACAGCAAAAGTAAAGGTTGCTAACAGGGCACTAAGAAGACCAACCATGTCAAAAGATAATTCCGTGGCTGTGGCAATCATGACTCCACCAACAATGGGAATCAGTGAACAGTAAACCTAATAAGTGCACCAAACAACTGTCAGTAGCGAACATGATGACCAGAATGAATTCATGAACATAGCAAATTACAAAACAAATCATGATTTATCACAAACACGATCCATCTACATGTACAAGTGTTAACCAGACTTAAACCCCAAGGAAAGATGAAGAAATAACATCTCTTTACAACATCAATACACTATCCAGCAGAGAGGCAATTAGAATGAAGAAGAATATCATTTAGGAGTTTTTTTTTTTCATCAGACACAACATCTCACAATTAAAATTGAAAAAAGGAAAGAAGAAAAAAAACCTAAGTTAGACAGACTAACAAGAGAACAGAAAACAGGGGAGAGGGGAGTTGGATGGTTGCCAGTTTTGAGATACCCCAGTTCAATGGAGTTTTAAACCAAATATGTTTGGAAAGAATTAAATAAACGATATTTATTATTATACTTGTCTGCATAACAATGAAAGATTAGCATAAACTTACCGCTCCTGATTGCGTTTCTCCTAAAATTACTCTTGATAGAATAACTGTGAAGACTGGCATTGTTGCCTGTAAAAAGATATGAGCAAAATTTTTAATGGTTCTTTTGAGCAAGATTGTAAGCTATAATTGATCCCACTGGGAATAATAATATTGACAATCATATTTTTAATTTCCCTAACTTAACTTGTCTGTTGATCTGAATTGCAAATACATCTACCATGGACTCTAAGTATTTCAGTGCTCCAGGTATCTTTATATTAAACTTCCTTTTGATCCACAGTTGAACAACTAAAGACTTTGAAAAGCAGTTGAGAGCAACTTAGAGCAGTAAAAGAACCTGATGTTATTTTTGATGACACATCACCAATATCAAATGGAAATAATAAATAGTTGATTATGATTGGGATCCCCATAGAAACAAAAATGTAAGGTTAAAATTTATAACAAAGAAAAGTGTGGAAATACCAAGAGGAATTTTCTGAAACTTCCCACAAGATTACTATATACATCATAGTGTTAGAGTTATAGGGTTTCTTCCAAAAATCTCTTTCACCCCTAAAGGTGACTTTCTCCTGACCAGACCATCCCTAAATCAAATATTAAGGTCATGAGAAAATGATCACCAACTAAAGAAACTCTTGATTGTTAAACAAATTCTCCTTGTCAGAACCTCTGAGGTGACCACCCCAGGTGTCACTTTCTCCGTATTAAAATATTCCGAAAATAAATCTGTCCTAAGTGTGAATTGAACTTACCTTAACTTGAGTGTGGTATCCATGAAAATTCATGAAAAAAAGAAAAGAAAATATGCATTTAAATTTTAAAAAAATGTTTAAAAAATGAACAATCGAAGGGAGCTAAGCCACCTTAGACATTCTTTTGAAAGAAATTAAAATGAAAAAAAAAGCTACAAATGACAACTGATGGACAACACATCAGGAAAGGAATAATATTCTTCCTGAAAAAAAACAAGAAAAACAAAATTTTTTTGAAAGAATTCTGTACCCTTTGAGTAAAAGTAGTGTGATCTCTCTGTGATTTTAATGTTTCCAAATCAGAGACAAAAAAAAACCCTAACACAAAAAAATAAAAAGATTGAGGTGTCACTTGGTATCACACTACTTTGCAACAACCGTCTTTTCTGATGTGCCACCTTCATTGCGGAGTTAACACTATGAACCGTAAGAGTGACCAGCATCTAATTACTCCTAACAGTAACACTGCTAAACCATTCATGCATCAAGGTCGTGAGAAAAAAATAATGATCCAGAAGCTTTGATGGCGAATCACGACAGAAACTCGTTTTCCTCGCTTCTTGGATACGGGATTACCTTCAGTTGTGTTTCAATACCAATCCATAATCATTCGTGATAACCCTTGCTGAACAGGCTGTTTTACGTTAATTTATCAAGATAAAACAACTAACGCCGATAAAACTGAAATCATTGAGATCGAGTGTCAGCATTAGCACAGCTGTTCCTCTAATTCAATGACGTCGCGTCGCAGAGTGGAAACCAAAACGCCACGAGTTGCCTGATTTGTATCATAATATGCACTTCCACGGGTCAACAACATAAATCGAATAAATTGCCTGTAGATTTGAACGGCTGATAATCACAGAGAACGTGCTTAAGATAAACTCTGAGAATGAGTAACAAATTTTAACTTTTTTTTTAAAATTGCTTGAAGCTTTCTGATCAATCAATTAGTCCTGAAGCAGTTCTTCTCCGATGTTTATTAAAATAATAAGAACCTATCTTTGTAAAATTATTGTTGTTTTTTTTTTTATCAACCTACCCGTGTGAGAATACGAGACAGGTACTTTCCATATGCTGACATGTGCCGTTATCGCAGCAAAAGCCTTTCCAAAGGAAAGTGGTAAGATCAGTTTCAGAAGACTCGATTTCGGCAAAGATTTCATAGGGGGAACACTCCAAACACGAAGAGTTGGCGACAAATATAGGGCCGTTGAGACGACTTGAACCATGGCCACGGTAACAGGAAAAGGAAAATCTGTCAGTATCTTCTTCCCGATAACATTGTTTGTCGAGCTGATCGTGTACCATAACGAGCACAGAAGAACTATTCGGAATGCTTCTGCTCCAAAACTCGTGGCCATGTCTTCGATCGGCTTGCCGGTTTTTCCTCGTTACCGACACGTCATAGCCATGTATCCACGCTTCCGGTTCAAATGTTTCCTATTTACTTCCGGTTTCACGCATCAATCATTTTGTTAAGACGCAATCAATCGAGCGACATCGCGTAAATGTATCTCTCAAAAATGTACCATCGACAGTTCTTTTTATGTGTAATTTTACTAGTTTTGCCTTTTATATCGTATTCCAAAGAGGATAAAGTTGATAAAAGAAGGAATGTTCTAGTTTTCATCGGAGACGATGCCGGCTTCGAAACTCAAGTTTACAACAACACAGTTTGCAGGACCCCGAACATAAATGCATTAGCAAAACGCAGTGTGATTTTCAGGAATGGCTTCACCTCTGTTAGTAGCTGTTCTCCAAGTAGGTCAACGATATTGACAGGTAAGAAAATTCGTTTTGCAAGGAAAGTGTTGCGGTAGCTTGAGATACAATTCATATCGAGAACAATTTCGTGCAGGAGGTAAGTCACATGATCTTTGGCCCTAACGGAACGCAAACAAAATTTAAAGAAAGGACCCTTTTTGTGCCTGGACCGCAGAAACATGTTCATTTTGATATGTTTCTGTTTTCAGTTTACCACTAGCGATCCTGTTTAAAAAAAAGCATGGGTCGCAATCAAAGCTGCAAACAAAATGTTGATAACATAATGAATGGAATCTGGAACTTGGCTGATTGTACGATAATAATGCAATATATTTAAATTACCTGTTGTTTAGTAAGGGTGCATGCACAATATATCTTGTATTAGTTGTGGAAATGCTACAGGGTGTGAAGCACTTGCAGTGAAGTTGCATCTTTTCCAGGGAAAGAAACAATGCCGCTAGTTGCTTTTTGTGGCTACTGCCTCCTATAAGAGATGTAAACTTAATGCGCTAGTGGGAGAGAACTCAACATCTCACAATCTTTTGAGCATTACGCGCGATTAAAAACCAAACGTTTTTCCTCGCAGAAATATCTTAATAGGTGATAACGGCCCATTATGAAACTAAGAACAATTTTTTTCTTTGAAGAGAGAGCATTTTACCGTCTAAATCAGCGAATTGTACAGATGATGTAATCTCTTAAGTTCCTGCCGACTACAAAAGGTAACAAAAAATCTGGGAATAATTTCACAGTGGCATCCACCGACACTTAATTTAAAACGAAACTTTTTCGTGGGAAAAATATATCAATAGAAGTGATCTGCACATCATGGAAGCTTATAGGAAATTTTGTTCCTTTTGAATCAGCAGCCGCTAAATTTTAGTTATTCAACAGAATGATAAAATGAGGAACGGTGGAACAGTGGAACAGTGGAACAGTGGAACAGTGGATCGCGGAATATCTGAAGACGCGGAATGACGTAATATCCTAAAACGCAGAATGCCTATTTGTCTAAAACAAAAATCTCAAAAAGTTGAATCTCTTTAAAAAAGGAACATTATTTATTATCAGCAAGCAAAATTAAAAGGAACTGAATTACATATAAAAGGAAAATTATTTATCATTGGCAAGAAAAATTAAAAGAAGCATAGGTAATCATTGTTGGAGCCCAGAGGATAGGGGAACCATTAGGCTTTTGAGCTAGCCCTTTAAATTACAAAATTATCATTATTATTAGTCAATATTATTATTTGTTACTATTTAATTGTTAGTTGAATGTCAATTCAACAATATATTCTTGAATCACCTTCTTCTTGTGGAACAGGTGATGCTCATAAATGTGTGGGATGTGGTTGTTTTTTTTTTTATGTCAAGCAAATGTTCTGCCACACTACTTTCCAGTGTCATTATACGACCTCTAGTTCTTTTCAATGCTATAAAAATTGAGCTTTATCAGTAGCCACGTATAGTCTTTGACTGTCTACTTTTAATTTTTCTCTCCAGCTGCTGCACATTTCCTTGTCAATTGCTTATGAGAGTTTGGTGTTAGGTCAAAATAACAACTTTTTTCTGTTAAATTTATGTGGGATAGTTTTATTCCCTGTCTGCTAGATAATGCAAGGATATTATTGGGAGAAGTTAGATATTGATTGATTCTGTTAGTCAGAGGTTTAATGCTATGCAGATCAGGATAACCTCAGGCTGTCTGGGCTGGAAGGATTGTCTTTTACACCAGTATGCATATTCTCCATACTGTTCTTTATACATTTCCTCAGGTGCTGACAAGGAGAATTAACTCAATGATCCAGAACTTCAGTGTTTGTTGATCATTTTCGTAATTCTCATTACCTCAATGTGTGATTCAGGGGTGATATTGTAAGGAGAAATTAGATGCTTGTCACTCTTAAGGGCTAAAGGGTTAAGAGACACAACTTAATTATCTTACTGTTTTGGAGAAACTCAAAAAATTACTTCTGTTATGGCTCTAGGTCTTCCACAGCACCAGAATGGTATGTACGGCCTCCACCATCAGTACCATCACTTCAACTCATTTGATGAAGTCCAGAGCCTTCCTATGATATTAAAAAAGGGAAATGTACGGACAGGAATCATTGGCAAGAAACATGTGGGACCTGATATGGTGAGCACAGCTGGGATCTCTGATGGCATGAAGTTGATTAGTTGCTGAGCTGCCTATCTCTGTAAAATTGTAATCTGGAGATATTTTACTCTATGTAAGGGTTCCCCACTCTCTAATCTCCTCAGATTTGTTAGTCAATCAAGTAACAAAATTGTTTCAAAATGGAAACACCATTACAATTCAACTTAACCCCACGAGTGACCAAGACAGAATCTCTCCTCACAACATCAATACAATATCAAGCAGTGACAAGACTACAGAAAAATATCAACAAGGGGATTATTAGTTAATTCATAATCAAATTCTCAGAACTAACCTCAAAAGAACTGTATGGCAGACAATAAGGAGAAGTACTAAATAAATGAAATCCTGCTCATTTTGAGTAATTGTTTTATAGGTGTATCCATTTGAATTTGCTTTTGATGAAGAGAACTGCCAGCTGCTTCAATGTGGCCGCAACATCACCCATATGAAGGACCTTGCTCGAAAGTTTTTTGAAGGCTCAAAAAATGATTCACGGCCATTCTTTCTGTACATGGGTTTTTTTGATCCCCATCGTTGTAGTGGAAATAAGTATGGTGAGTAGTGCACATTTTATATTGTGAGTCTTAAGTTAAATTTTTGATGGTGAGAACTTGATCTTCAACTTTTTAAAGAGATTAGAGATTAGAGCATGAGATTATTTGGTGCAGATCGGTATTCAGTCATATTGGAAGACACTCAAAGATTTCCAACCACTTTTGTAAAATTTCAGAGAAAGTCTCAAAGAGTTTTGACACAACTTCCCCTTTAGTGCTCTTCCTTCTGACGCACATTCTTGACTGCGGGGAAACGTACACTGTGGTGATCGTTGTCCAGGGCTTTGTGTTTATCTGAGTGGGTTGAGATTAACATATATTTTTGTAGAAAATGTGTCTGTCAAGGCAGCAATTCAAGGACAATTTTTCACATTTTATAAAAAAGCTAGTGGGTACAATAAATAACATGGTCTGGTATGAGATCGTATTTTTTAACCCACTGAGGCAAGAATCATGCCCAAGCCATGTGAGTTGGCAAGATTAGGTTGAGGATGCGACACGTGCTCTGCATACTGCCACGATCAGTGATGGTGAAAGTATCATTTGACTGAATTGAACAAGAAAGATTATAAGCTTTGAACTCGATAATGAAACTAAGAGACATTTTTTTGTGTCCTGTATCTTCCTGAAAAAAATTTTGTTGTAGGGCCATTTTGTGAGAAGTTTGGGAACGGCGAGCCTGGAATGGGAGTCATCCCTGACTGGAAGCCCCTCTACTACTCCCCTGAGGAGGTGGTTGTCCCATATTTTATACAAGACACCCCAGCAGCAAGGGAAGAGATTGCCAAGCAGTACACCACAATCAGCCGTCTTGATCAGGGCATAGGACTAATCTTAGAGGAACTTCGCCTGGCAGGCTTTGAAGAGAACACTCTCGTCATCTTTAGCTCAGATAATGGGATCCCTTTTCCTGGTGCTAAGACAAACCTGTATCATCCTGGTATGGCAGAGCCTTATCTAGTTTCATCCCCTTTTGCTCCTGAACGTTGGGGACAGATAAGTGACGCTATGGTGAGCCTCCTCGATATAGTGCCTACGGTGTTGGATTGGTTTGGGATCGAGTACCCCAGTTATAAGATTTTTGGGCCCAATGAGGTGCAGCTAACAGGGAACTCTGTACTGCCGGTGTTAAAAAAAGAACCGACATCCGGATGGGACACAGCTTTTGCCAGTCACAACATGCACGAGGTGACTATGTACTACCCGATGCGAGTTCTTCAAAAGAAGAATCTTAAACTTGTCCATAACCTGGCGTATAAGATGCCATATCCCATCGCCTTGGACATTTTTACATCCGACACGTTCGGAGACCTTTTAAACCGCACCCGACGCGGGGTACCCACGGGATGGTATCGCACTCTAGATCAGTATTACTACCGGACGCAGTGGGAACTGTATGATTTGAACACTGATCCTAAAGAACTGAAAAACCTGATCGACAAACCCTCCTATCAGAGCGTGTTTAAAGAGCTACGCCAGGAACTTTTGACCTGGCAGAAGAACACCGGCGATATTTGGATTTGCTCACCCCAGGGAGTCCTGGTGGGGGAGAGTTGCGAGCCTATGGACAATGACGTTTAGGTAGGAGGGTCCATTAGGGGGAGGGAGGGGGGGGGGTCTGAGTATCTCGTATCCTATTAATTTTTGGCTTAAATGTCCCGTATCCCGTTAATTCGTGTGGTCTGTATCCCTAAAGTTCAATATCCCGGAATCTCTATTTGAAATATCCCTTATCCCGTCAGTTTTTTTACCCAAATATTCGGTATCCGATGACCCCTTATGGGTTTTTTATGGCATGGGTTTTTATATCCCCCTGGTATGCTTTCCTCCCAGGGAGATACGACCCCGCTACCTCC